TTGAGAGCGAGGGTTGATATATTCCCGATGTGGATTGATGAGTTTAATCTTTGCCAGTACGTTTGCTCAAGTTTTCCGATCGCAGTTTTGTAAATCGATAAGACATCTGTGTGTTTTTTTGACGGATCAAAGATTTGAGAATCGGGTTTGCGGGGTATTATGGGTATTGTACCAGAATTCTGGAGAATAGTAGACTCTGAGTAGACTGCTTTGGTAGGATTTTCCAAGTCCCCTGCGAGCACCGAGCCGTGCTCGGGCCTGAGAGGGACTTGCGACCGTTCCGGTAGGCTAAGGGTTTACAGTTGAAAGTGACGTGTTCTATAGCAAGTACTGCTGAACTGCCGGCAGGCCCGTTCGTAGTACTCCCAAGTACCTCAAATCAAAGGAGGGCATGCCCAAACGCCCGAAACCGAGCTTCTGGAACTCATCCTGTGGGCCCATGCATCCTATGACACAGCTGACACAGCCGGGCAGCGTCGGAGGATTCAAGCTGGGAGCCGTGTTTGGGCCGCACCTATCAGCTTTCTTGGTCTCCCAGGTGAGACCTTCCGTGCCGCAGCATGTGGGCCAATCTTTGTCGGCACAGAGGCGGGCTGACTCGTGCCATTGTTGTGAAAAATCAGCGAACATGTTGGTCGCGAGCTTTCGCATGTATTTGCTTTTAGCCAGGAGAAGCTTCAAAGGCATGCCGGGCTCAAACCCTCAAGCCGAAGCCGGATTTCTTCTCAAGAGGGCTCGAAGGTGGTTGGCTCCCGAGCCCCTCCTGAGGCATGTTTGTGGAGTTCGCCTCAGTGCTTCCCCTTCCGGCAGCTGTGGCTTGCGGCGTGGTTGTCCTGACTGTCCATGCCGCTTTGGCGGAATGGGATTTGAAGGGCTTGTCGACGGCCTGGTTGAGCTGGATTGAGAAAGGGGCGGAGAAATTGAAGAAGCCGGATTTGCAGGAGCAGCGCATGGAAGATGCCCTGCAGAAGATGATGATGGAACACTACAAGCGAGCTATACGGTACCTAGCACACTTCCTGGCCGTCGTCGTGCTGTGTCTCTTGTACCCCATGCAGCAGCCGGACTTTATCACTGCAGTCCAGTTTGTGGCGGTCTTGGCGCATTATCTCGCCTGCTGGTGGGTGGCGAGATCGCACGTCACTTTCAACACGCTTCGACTGTTGACGGTGCTCTCACATTTTCTGGTTGACACCTTTTTCGTCGTCTCGATACACGTCTCGGAGGAAGCGGACTACAACCTCCTCGCGGTGGTCTCGGCGGCCTTGCGCGTGTGTGGGGCTGCTGTCTTTCACGATCCGCCTATTTTTATCCCATGTCAGGTTTGGGTTTTTGTGGTGGAAGTTGCATGTTACTTCGGACTGAAGGGGACACACCGCGGTCCTCCTTTGCACTTCCTCTGTGGTCAAGCTGTCATCCTGGCTTTGGTCTGTGGAGTCGCAATGATGGTCCAGGAGTGGGCACGAACTTGCATCAAAGCTTCATTCCAGTCAGCCGACGCTAATCTCTGTTTGGAAGGCTTCCAGCGAGTCTTGCGAGGCGTTTGCGATGCAGATGTGCTGCTCGATGATAGTTTCAATTTCGTCGGAGACAACACTCGCCTGAGACGCGTCCTAGCGACGCCCACCGATCTTCAAGGCGTGAAGTTTACCGACCTACTCGATCAGGAGGGAAGAACGCAGTTCGAGAAATTCGTCCGGATGTCATGCAATGCAGGCAAAAACCCGGAAGAGCGGGAGGAACAGGAGAAAAACTGCAGCATTCCGCCCTGCCTGCGCATCTCACTGCCAAGTGCGTATTCGCGGGTTGGTGTGGACATTTTCCATGTCCTTGTGCCGCGCTTTTTGGATGCTGCAGGACCCCTTCACCTTCTGGCGATTACGGAAGATCCAGATACGAGGCTGCAGCCGGATGCAACTCTTGGAGCTATTCCAGAAGCGCTCTCCATGTACTCCGAAGACAACGATTGTAACGATTGCAACGACTACATGTCTACGGTTGCAGAGTCGGAGGCGGCCTGCTCAAAGCGCAGTCTGAACAGTTCGATGCTGTGCAGGGTACATCCCGTTCCCGAACTGCGTGAACTTACGATGCTCGTGGATGCTAGTACGGACCAGCAGGACGTGCTGCAAGTACACGCTAAGTTCAAGCGAGACAAGAACCTGCCCAATGACATTCACTCGTGCATGCCATGCTTGCAGACCATGCTCAGACCATCGGATTGGCTCGGCATCCGTATGCGCGTGGCGAAGTTTGCGCACGAACAGTGCCAGGTGGGTTCTCCAGACACACATGAGCTACCGTCCGTGATGCTCCGGAGGCTGGACGACCAGAACAAGTTCCTGGCGGCCAACACGGTGAACCTCGCCCCGTGTCGCGGCCAGGAATCATCGAAGAAGTCTTCTTTGGTGTGGGTCTACGTCCGAGATTTCGTGAACGACGAGGCCAAATTCCGAATGCAACCAGGCAATGAAAATTAAGCTGAGGAAGGTGCTCTCCTTCTGTCGGCGTACCACTGTCTGGGTGCCGCAAGAGAACGGTGCCATTCCGACGGCGCACCCTGAAGGGCATTTTGGGCCGTCAATGTACACATGAGTGGTTTCTTATCTTAAACGGACTCTCGGGTTTCCATCCTCAAAGGGGGTGGGTCATTCAGCAAGCATCGTGTTTATCTAGCACCTGTTTGGGATTGAAGTAGCTTGTATGCGCTGGCATGAAGCATCCACTTTTTGTTGCCATGTTCGGCGTCTTGGCCACATTGGCTCCTTCGAGAACTCCTCGAGTCTCCGAAGCACCCGTTCGCTTTTCGCATCCGTTCGCTTTCAAAAGAGTTCAGGGGCTTCATGGGGCTGCACGAGTCTGAGCCACGAGCATGCATTCTGTCTTGTCAACTTCAAGGCTCGAGCATGGTACGACATGTTCAGCTGTCACGTCGTCTAGTGGCAGCTGCAGCTAGAGGCAGTGGCCTGTTCAGTAAGTTTTGTACGGTAGCCCGGTAGCGGTACCAGCAGCGAGAATATTAGCAGCCTGCCGTCCTTCTTGTAGTTGCGTCGACCACAATATTCGACCCTAGCGACGGTGAGGTGATCACGAAGAACGCAAAAGCAGCAACGCCAACACACACACACACACACACATCTTCTCCCCTGTAAAGAAGACGGTTCTGTCAAGTCGCAGCAACCTCGTTTCGTGAAGCAGCCAGGCCGATCTGGACGTCGCCCATGCTCCCCACCGGCGTCGCAGAGGCTGCGTAGCACTGCCTAGATGGAGGGGTTGAAGAGGTTTGGTTTCAGGTTGGACAACTATTGCCTTGGCCTGTAGGGGACTCCCATACTGCACATCCACAGGAAGCCGCCACTAAGCAATTCAGTATACATGTCCACGTAGAGTCTGTTGAGGCAGTCATTCAATCATCTTCCACATGCAACAAGCAGGATTGCCTGACATCAGAAGAGCGTTCTTCAAGTGCGATTGAAGACGAGGAACTGTGCTGTGAGTGCTGGAAAGCGTCGAGAGTCGCCCGCCCCCACAAGATGGACTTCCTTCAGGCCTTAGTTGCTTTTCGTGTTTTTGTTTTTATGTTTTTTGCAAGGCCTCGTTCTCCAAGTAATATAGTATAGCTTTACCCACCAAAGCCTACTTGTTGGACAGGGTCCGCATAACTTCTATGTTCGTGGTTGTGAGAAAGACCTACAAACAAGTAGGCCATGGCATCTTAAGGTATCATGATGTTCCTACGCCCTGAAACAACGAAGCTTAAAGAATCGAAACCCCAAAACTCCTCCGCCTTTCTCGGACAGGGTCGACAGCGCTGGTGCGTGCTTCTTCCTGAGGCACCCGGGCACGGGGTTTCAGCGTTGTGTGTAGCGTCGTTTGCTTTGCACTTGTGGCTTAGAAGGGCTTTTGAAGAGTGTTTCTAGTATCTAGGGTATCATGCAGGTTTAAAGTTAAAACTCACAAAGGCCAAATGGTCCAGTACTCCAATGTCAGTCAGGGCAGTTCCAGCTCTTGAGACTCTAAGGGGAGGGCTTCAGGGTCTGAAAGTTTTCGACGGGAATGTAGCCCCCCCCCCCAAAAAAAAAAAACAAAAAACAGAAGCCCTTTCGGCGCGCAAACAGCTGATTCAGATGCACGTCAGAAGGTCGGTGTCGGAGGATGCTTACCACTCGCCACAATGACTCCTGGCCCCCGAAGTTAGCAACTGGGATGGCGTAAGGCTAGTGCGACAAAAGAAGGAAGAACGGTGCTGCCATCCTGAGTGCTTTGTGCTGAGTGCTTTAATTGTGCCATGCTTGGCGATGTCTCGCTTTGCGCACCGTGAAGGCATCTTCAGCTCAAAAGCAAGAAGCGGACAGTTTTGTTAAGGCAGTATGTATAACAACATTACTCAGGTATAGCTTTTGCAAAAAGATCTAGCCATTCAACAGCAATTACGTTACCACAGATAGCTTGGAGCCTCAAGGGAGCATTTGCGAATACGTCAGGCACTCATCTTTACAACATGGTGGGTTTTGCCTTTATTGCAACATGTGGCCTTCCCAGCGTGCAAAGGCCCTCCCGCCGCAGTTGGATTGCTGCTTCGTAATTTGAGTTGGCAGCATGACATCTTGGCAGGTGTCCAGAATCACTCGTTTGAGCATCCTCACTGGTTTCGTTGGCATCAAAAACGCGTGGGCCTCAACCACAAATGTTTCATATGTGTTTTATCTGCTTGTTGAAAGTTGCAGTTCATGGGGAAACCCAGGTTTTTCATTCGAGTCCAGTGCCAGATGGCGTCAGACCTTCGGCAGCACAAGGCCGGTCTTCTTCGATGCAGCACATGGTGCATTCTTCAGGTGCTGGCCTGGCACCATTCGTGGCTTCAAGGTTCAACATGCAGCTTGTATCGTTGCGCCTTGCCAATGGTTGAATGGTGTGTGTGAAGCGGCATCAAAGTCGGTGGTGAAGCTGCCGTTGAGCAGGGACGTTTCAGTCCGACTTCTAAGTCGGGTTGGCCGTGCATGTGCATGGCTCTCAGCATCGCCATCGCGAAGAACATGTACTTGACCAAAAAATCATGTCAAACGTTGCAGGTGCACAATTCACCAAATGGTCGCTTGTGCACCCAGGCACGGTATTTGGCCCTCACGAAGCACATGTGTGGCCTGTGGCATGTGGCAATTTTTGGTGTTTTGAAGGATGTTTCCATGTTCGAGAATTGCTTTCGCAAGCTCCGGGCTGTTACCAGACAGGAGGCAGCTTGCCAGAATGGGCATCCAGTTACCAGTGCGCTGCGTGCATCAAAACTGCCAGGCTTCTTATGGTGTGTGGGTCGATGTCTGGAGTCCGTGCGGCCAGGAAGGTTGTTGCAGATTAGCATACAAAATGATCACAATGTGACATGTTTGTTCCGAGTTCCTGAATGTGCATGGCAGGAGGCCCGTGGGCTGATACACCTGTCAGACATGGACGAGGCCAAACTTGTTGCATTGTTTCATTGGAAGACCTTGTTTGGGTCTATGCATCATGTCTTTTAATATCCAAGCTGTTCTGTGCAGTGAACATTCCTGGATGCTTCACATGTTACGCAGGTTGTATTTGGGCTTTGCAGGGGGCATGTCCCTTCACCAAAATGTTTTTGCATGCTCGGAGAGAGATCGACAGATGCCGATGCCCACGCAAGCGGGTCAGGATGTTGCGGTGGTTGCCTCAGCAGTCAGCAGTCGACACTTGAAAGAAGGTATCTATCCGTGTCGAGAGCCGAGCAAGCTCATTGAGGTTTATGTTTCTCATGTCGATGTTGAAAGGCCGCGACACTTTCCTGAGCTTTTCTGTAGCGTGCCTGTCGGTGTCCGGGAACTTTTGCTAGAGTCCATTTCACCTGACGTGGAAAGGGGGCACCTGGCTTTGTCATTTCGGGCACCTAGCTGGGAGCTCGCTTATTCTGGCTACATCTTTGCAGATTCTTCTGCTCTCGTAGTGCTGAGGCGCTTCTTCATCATCTTCTTCTTCTTCTCTGGCCACCGAGGATTTCAGTTGTGCAGCACGTGCTCAGACTCGAGACTCTGTTGCTCTTTGAGGATACTTCGGACTTTGCTGACATCTATGCCTGCCAATGGTTGGAAGCAACTATTGCGACAGGCAGCATGCCTTCATGTCACTCCCACTGTGCAACGGCATCTGTCCAGGTGTGAACTCTGTGAACCCTGAGGGTGTGCTGTGCACCCAGCATTCAGATTTGTGGAACTTTGTGCGTGGTCTGAGTTAAAACTGTCTTGCGAAGGCTTGTGGATGTGAAGCATCCTCGTCTTCAAAGATCTGAGCGTGGTTTCGTTCATGTGGATCGGTGGGCCACTCACGCACTTGTGTCGGTGTAGCCCTGATTTTTTTACAGTGATGTTTTATCGCTGTTGTTCATAGTCCCGGCACATTTTGACCTTTTGAGAATTATTGCGACACTCATGTGGGTTCCCTGGGAGGATCGACTTGAGTGGTGATGTCCAGTCTGCCTTTGCTGCTGGAGATGAGGCAGACGTGATGCTTTGTTTCGTTGCTTCAGACGATGTCAGTGGCAAGGTCCACGTGCGGGTGATCGGCATCAAAGCAGGGCTGCGCAAGCCCTATCACAGAGTTTATTGTCGAAGAAGAGTTTTACTAGACTCAACTTTTAAGTCTCACCTGTTAAGTCAAGTCTTTCAAATTCATTCTCTTGGCCCTTCCCCCACATATTTTTGAAAAGAAGACCTTTGCTTTGGGGGGGTCAGAGTCAAGGCTGGAGCTCTCGATGAAAGGGGGCGCCTCGGACATCCGGGCCGACCTGGAGGCGCGCCTCGCTGCTCTGCTGCTGCGCGCTTTGCTCTGCGCGTCTTTGCCCTGCGTGTTGTTCGCCGTTTTCTTTGCCTCTGTTGCGCTGCGGGCTGCCCTTCAAAAACTTTGCACGTGTGGTTTCTCTGTGAGGCACAACTTGAGCGAGTTCGAATTGGGCATGGGCATGTCAGTTCTGTCGCACAGGCAGCACTACTTTGCTAGTTCACTTGGCTCCTAGTTGCTGTCGAAGACCTTTCGCGGCGTGGCAGAAACTTTGCTGGTCGCAGGAGGATCTTCCCCTTTCAGATTACCAAGATGTTTCGGATTTCGAAGACTTGCCGCATTTCGCTCAGTTTTGCTTTGTATGGCTCGTGGCACATGAAATTGTTTTCGGTGTGTTGACAAGGTCATCTACGCAGTGGATTGAGGGCAGAGTCTTGCAGGTTGCCAGTTACGGTCAGCCACCATTTGACCACTGACGAACATTGGATTATTTTTGCTGGAAACAAGCTGCAATATTTTGCAGGTATGTATGTCAGCGTCAAAGCTCCTCGAGGCTGGCCGTGAATTTGGCACGTGTGGATCTAGGGGCAGTTTTGACGCGCGCTGCCGCAGCGAAGTGAAAAAATCAGTGTCAGTGGGCTCCGAGAATGTAGCATAATGCAGGTGGGCAAGAGCTGTGGGGACTCGCCGCCATCCCAGTGATTCACTTTCAATGGGTTTGTGACTTGTGTTGAACAAAACGCCAAAGGTGCATTTGTCCGAGCTCTCAAAGGACACACGGGCTTTAGCGCGTGGGGCTCGAATCAATGCCTGCTCCTTACGTCCTTTACTGCTTCTGAAGCAGAAGATATGTGAAGATACCCAGCTATGACTTCCTCGGGCAGAAAGCGTTTGCACTGTATGAGATGTATAGAAATGCATGAAGCCTTAAGGTCCGGGTGAAACATGTCGACGTGGTCAATGGCAGGAAGCAACATTCGCTCAGTTTCTAGGGGCCGTTTCGGGCCTTCTCTCCTCTGTTGCAGGCTGCTGCTGTCCACCAAAGACCCGAAAGACACGGAGAGCTCTCAGGTCGCATCGCAGGTTGCCAAAAAAGAGATGGTATGCTACAGGGGTTTCGCCAGGAGCTGCCTTTGGGGTGGATCCAGGGAACTGTGGAAGAGGCCTCCTGCTGGGGGGGGGCAGTGGGGGGGCAGTGGGGGCATCGGCCACACTGCTTAGCCAGGATAAGTATTAGCTTGCAAGGCGTTAGTTGCGATGAAGTCTTCGATGAACCTCGGGAATCTGGCTCTTGTCAGGTTCAGAAGTACGGGTTGATCGTACGGGTTCCGAGTGGCGCTGGGTTGGTGTATGTGACAGAGATGGACAAATATCTCGAGGCCGTGCCTTGTGTTTCGTTGTCTCTTCCGCTTCTGCCTGTCATCGTATGCTGTGCAGAGTTTGTTGACGCCTCTGACAGCAAGGACCCTCACACAGCTTTTGTTGCAGTCTCAAGCTGCTTATGTTCAGCTTGTACATCATGCGCTGGTGGCCAATAGCCAAACACCTAAGGTGGTGGGTCAAGCTGTGAGGGTGAGGATTCTCGGCGCCATGGAGAAAGGCCTCTGCTTGTGTTCGTGATCTCAGCGTTTCTGTGCAGCATCTTACTTTGCAGGTCTCCTTGCACTGTCAATGAAGGCCCCTGACGAGGCATCGTTTTGCTCCAATCTTGGTTGGCAAAGTTGGTTGATCAGACAGCGCCTCCATGGAGGGGCTGCGGCAACCTAAGCCTGAGCACCCGATCTTGCTACATTCTCTCACTGCACTCAAAGGTGTAGACATGTCTTCAGCAGGCCAGCTGGCAGGTCGAGAGAAGCACCGCAGAAGATGCGGAGGCCGTGACAGCTCAGAACTGTTGAGAGCTGCCTGCAGCTGGTCGTTATCCAGGACACTCCCAATGTGGAAGATCTTCAGATCCGTGTTCTTGACTCAGTTCCTGTCCCATGTTGGGCTCACCTGGCTCCACTTGGGTCCGCCAGAAACCACCTGAGGAACCCGGGTCGACCCACACGTGAACGATCGCTTGCTTTGTGCAGGCCCTTCGGAACCGGTTGAAGGACTTCCTTGGAGTTTCGCCTGACACGGACCTGCGCGCTGAGGTGCCCGGCCTAGTTTTGATCGCAATTTCATTGGTCATCCTGCTGAGCCCCACCCTTGCTTTGTTCAATCACTCACGACGCTCTCTTTAATCACTCAAGTCAGTCAAGTCTCCCTAAGCCTTAAGCATCTCCAACAGGGCTGGCAGCAGCTTCGTCGTTTATAATGACAAAGTGCGGAAGAAACCTCCAAACCAATCCAACTCAAGCCGGCAGGGGCAGCGCGTTAGCTGCGTTAGCTTCTCCGTCCAAAACTGCGAAATGCCGGCCTGACAGCCCCGTCATTCTCACAACTGCTGCCGGTGCAAAAGGTGCACGAGATGCAGAGTCCCGGATAGAGATCAATGCTCCTCTGGAGCTTACGTCGGCCTTTGTGTTCAAGAAGACCCTGCTCGGCAACCAGCGCAAAGAAGCTATGGGGAAAACAGGGAGCCCCCTGCGCCCCGCCCCCCGAAACAGAAAAGAGAGTAGTCCGGCCAGCACTCCAGAACCAAACAATCCCCTCAGCAATACCACATTTGTGTAATTGTGTGCAACGGAATCTCAGCACCGCTCTGTCGAGCCCAAAGCCGAGAAAGCTCTCTAAACATCTCTGAACTGAGTCACCGAAGTGTCACAGACACGTCAGCATCATCAAGGTCACCAGAGCATCTGAACGACAAGTGTCTTGCTTGGGGCTGATCTAGCTAGCAACGGTGCCAGAATCATGACCCTTCTTTCTTGGCGATCACAAATACCTCCATGGTGACTGAGTTGTGTGATTAGGTGCAGGGGGAGACTCCGTTTGGGATGCTGCTCAGTGTGAGCCATCCAGATGGCGGGATGCGACCTGAGTACAAAACCCTGTTGCTGCAAAATGCTGCAGAGTTTTGAGCCTGCTGTGCCGGCTGAGCCTCTGCAAGGTCGGCTGCGCAGGCTCTGCTAACGAGCCCCTCAGCGAGTATCCGGACGGGCGAAAGCCGAGAGAAGACCCTCCCTGCGCGAAACGAAGGGGTTCTTTGTCCAGGACGGGCGACCAACTTCGAGTGCATGTCGCTTCAGCCGCAGCCTTTTGCACAAAGGATGGGAAAGTACCCTCTGCCACTGAACAACTTGCGCTGATACCGTTTATAGTGTGCTTATGCTGTTTTCGTCCGAGGTTGACACTCACCGAGGTGTGCTGACTGTGACCGAGGTAACAAGCTAGGGCTGCTTAAAAAAGGAAAGATGCTTCGTGCTCTGCAATCCGTACTGCGTTTCTTGCCCTCTGATATGCGCAGGAAGAGTTACAGTTATTGGTTCACAACCCCTTAAGCAATGGATGTAGTGATTTTCCCAACGCATGAAAACGGACCTGGTGATTCCGGATAGAACATTGCTTGGGAAGTATGTGGTGCTGTTGGCTCCAGCTCTAACACTGGGACTGGGTAGTCCGGCGCGCAGCCGGAGCAGAAAGGTCATCCAGCTCAGCGTGGAAGCATCTGCACCATTTTCCTGCAGTCAGAAGACGAGGTTGTTCATCCCACCGTAAGGAAGGGAGGGAAGGAGAGAGGGAGAGTGGGAGGGAGAGAGAGGTCGTGGCCGGGGTTTTCCTGCAAGGGGGAGCTCTTAGCTGAGAAGAAGAAAGAAGAAGAAGAAGAGCGAGAGAGAGAGAGAGAGAGCAACAAGGAGATAAGGGAAGTCCATGGAAGTCCCCACCATCGCAGGCCATGGAGGCCTCTCAGCCAGTTGGAGAGAACAGTCCAAGCGGACGGCTGGCGGCCCGCTGTCCCGGATCTGGTGTGCGTAATGTGCGTAACAAGCATGTGTTGCTAAAGATGACCCATAAAGTCCCAGAATGTTCGTAGATGCGTGTGGCTTTTGCGGCCGAGGTCCGGCGGCCAGCTCCAGTCACTGTGCCGCCACGCAGACAGCGAGAGGTTTGGCGCCGCTTTTGCCTCTTCAGGTTTTTTCGATTGGGTGTTTGGAGTGTGATTTCTGTGATTTCGAGGTTTCTTATGGTGTTGGAGTCCCAAGCGATCAATACCACACTTGTTTGACCTTGCTTGGCCGAATCCCGATGGGAACGTCGAAGTGTCTTGCGCAGGTGGAGCCGGTGGAGCCAGTCATCTCGCCTCCGAGCACCGACAGCCCCGACAGCCCCGAAAGCCCCGACTCACCCGATAGTATGGGGCCCGATTCGCCTTCAAGCGCGAGCCCTGGTAAAGGTCTGCTTTGCAGAGCACACAGGAGCACATGGTTTTCAAGAATCCGGCAATCAGGAATTGTTGTGCGGAACACCTTCATTGATATTCGTGATGAATTCGCATCAGGCTTGCCGGAAATCGTTCCTGTTGACGTTTGCTCTTGCCTGTGATGCCTGTGAAGGTTCAGATGAGCCTGGCTCCCCCCACCGCGGCAACAGTGCCCCTGCATCGCCAACCCAACGAGCCGATCCTTGGGTGTGCTCCTTGGAGTCTTGAAAGCGAAAGCTGCCTCACACCTGCGGTGACCGTGTCGAGTTTCCAAGGACAACGTTGACCTTGGAGAAGGCCCGCGGCAAAAAGACGTGACTGCTGTAGTGCCTGCTGCAGCTGAAGATGTGCAGGTCAGGATGTGCCATTTGGCGTACAAGGCCCACTTTCGGAATGCGTAGCTTTCAGAGCAGTCGCAAGGCGTTCTCGGAACTTGTCAGGTCCCTTTGGAAAGGCACCAAATGCAGAGGCAGCTGCAGTGACTGTGTTGAGTACATTGAGAATCGCTCCAACCTCCAGGACCTCGAGCACTTGGTTCACTTCGGAACAGCTCAGGCTTGGCAACGGCTTGGACGCATCTGAGCTCAGCAGGAAATGAAGAATGAGTACACGAGTATCTGATGAGGATGGACGCTGGCTCCGAGATCTAGCATCGCCGAAAAAGGTCTCCGCCCGACCCCGCAAGACGCCTGGCCCCCAGATGTTTCAGTCGACTTCATGGCTTTGAGGTTCAGTTCGCATGATTTGTCGCGCGTTATGACCCTGTGTTCTTTTGAGCTTCATTCCTACTGGAGCCACACGCTGCAACGCCCAGGAAAGGAGTTGCTGCGGAAGCCGAGGTCTGTGACATTCACTTTGCTATGCTTTTCACGTTTTTCTTCTGTTCGCGTCGTGGTGTTTTGTGTGTGATGAGCCTGGCAGGGCACTTCTTCAATGCGGCTCGGGGATCTGCTGAAACTAGGTATTCCAGGCCTGGTGAAAACCGTGCGAGGCGCTGCCAAAGGTGTGCTTTTTTTCCTGCTTTTAGGTCAGCCCGTGGAAAGGGATGATGGGGAGACTGAGCTGGAGAAGCAGATGCAACAGTTTCGAGTGCAGCAAGACCACTTGCTGCGTCGAGCGCTTAATGGAGCTACTAGCGGAGCATAGTGGAGCAGCGAAGTAGCTGGAATCACTTGCAAGTCACATCCATGCTGAAGGTTCACAACTTCAACCAGTCCTGGAGGGCAATTTGCAGGCTGATGTCCCTGGGACATGCTGGACCCTCAGGGCACCAAGCTTCAGTCCTTCGCAGTGACCAGCACTGGTCGAGTCTTTCATTTGTTGGACAGCTTTTGTGATGGTAAGGTTTGAGCGGCCTCGGAGCCCCTCCGGCTCCAGCCGTAAGTTCCACCGCAGGCGTTTGGCCAGGCAGACATGCTTCAAGTCTGGGAGTTGGGCTTGACCAGACACAAGGTCATGTGCAAACTCTATATGTTGTAGATACCTTCGAGATGCACTCGTACGTTTTTGGTTTGCGCAGTCTTTGTTGTGCGTTCAAGGAGCTGCTGCATGGATGCACAAAGCAAATCACATGAAAGCAAGCACTGAGCATCAAGACCCTTACAAGGCACTGAATTGTTTTGTGTAATGTTGTCGTTTGAACCGTTTGCATGGAGTGAGATGAAGAAGAGTACAGCACCTTTGTGAGTGAGCTTCGCTTCGTCGACTTGGTCTTTCATGGTTAAGTAGTTATGGTCGTGACCCCTTGTGGCATCTTCATGTCGTATCTGGTCTCCTTCATGCCAGGATACAGGTGTGTGCGTGAGTCCTTCATATTTGGGAATACTTAGGGACGTGCCATGAATCTTCCGGTCGCTCTGGACATTGCAGAACATTGCCCTAAATCCTCAGAGGGCGCTTTCGTACGAGCCCTGCTGTAAGTGCCATCCATTGGATTGTCACCTCTCTTCAGAAGAAGCAGTTCTGAGAACTGGCTTCCGAATCCAAACCCGAATTGAGTGCTGTTTCGCAGGATCCGGCTACAGAGGTCCGCTTCCAGGTCAGCCGCTGCTTCCCAACATGGAGGCGTTGCAAAGCATTCTCATTGGAAAGCGTGTGGAGCTTGGATGGTGGAGCCCAGGTGCCCTTGGCAGGATGTCCTCCGATGCACGGTGCAGGTGCTGCCCCGTAGCTTTCAAACGGTTGGACTGCGCACTCGCATCGACTTTTGTGAGGTCGCGCTGCCGCAGTAGGCGGGTTCATGCTGTACTCTGTTAGATCAATCCGCTGTAGTTTTGCAGCTTTGCATCATCACATTCTTGTGTCTTTCTTTGCTGGAAGTGCTCGCAGTCTTTAGACTTTAGCTTGAGGAGGATGCGGCAGGTTGGAAGTCAGGAAGCAAGTCTGCATACTGGGGATGTTTCGGCCGGTTACCGGGAATGGTGGCACCGCACCGGCAGAACGAGACAGTTTAGATCACAATGTCGAACATGTCGAAAGGTCTGAAAGGTCTGAAGATTTTCGTGATCGCAGACTTCAACCGAAACAGCGTGATGATTCAGAAGCAAAGGGGTGCACAAAACGAGTGCAGCTGCCCTCCAATGCATGTGACTGCATCCTTGGGCTGCTACAGTTTACTACGGCGAAGTATGCAAGAATGGTAAGGGGTACTGACAGAAATGGATTGCTCTGGCAGCCAGGTTGGCATGAATTCCACAACAAAACATACCTGTCGCTGCATGGGATTGATTGGACCTCTGACCTGTTTTCTATGTCCAGACCCGCTATCTGCAGCGTATGTGTGGCCTGTCCAAGCTGAATACAGTGGGCGCTATGCGCAAGCACCTAATTTCATGTTGCCATTGTTTTCTTGTGTGTGTGTGTGTGACTCGACAAGGTTTCGATGCCACCGTATATTTCACAGGAGTGCGTTTCACGATGCTCGCTTCAGTGATGTGTGGAGGTCCGCAGCTGCAGCGAGATCTCGACAGTGGCGCGCTCGTGCGATAGGCAAGCTGGTCGCTTTCCTGGACACTGAAAAATGCCAGGTGGATGTGGTGGATTTTCTGGACAGTTGCCAGGTCTCGCCAGCGATTGCTTATCTTGCATCATTGGACCCTAAACCCTAAACCCTAAACTCTAAACCCTAAACCCTATACCCTAAACGCTAGACCCTAAACCCTCTAAACCCTAAACCCTAAACCCTAAACCCTAAACCCTAAACCCTAAACCCTAAACCCTAAACCCTAAACCCTAAACCCTAAACCCTAAACCTCTCTTACTATATGATTTGCCCACCAAGGTTTGTGCCTTGCCCACCAAGGTTTGTGCCTTGCCCACCAAGGTTTGTGCCTTGCCCACTGAGGTTTGTGCCTGCCCACCAAGGTTTGTGCCCCTCCCCCACCCCCCCCCCCGCCCCCCCCCACCCCCCCGCCCCCCCACCCCCCGCCCCCCCACCCCCCCGCCCCACAAGTTTTAGGATTTCAGTGTTTCAACAACAATAAGTCTTTTTTGAGCTTTGGGTTTCCTGGTTCAGGGTATAGTGTTCAGGGTTTATGAGTAGAGTTTTTGGCTCTTAAAGTTCAAGGTGCAGCTGAAAATGAGAAGTGTATGTAATCTTAATGTTATGGGATTCTCTGGGTGGGTGGGTACTTCTCCATCACACAAGAAACAGCTTGACTAGTGAAAGCTAGTACATGAGCTGCTGAACCCTAAACCCTAAACCCTAAACCCTAAACCCTAAACCCTAAACTCTAAACCCTAAACCCCAAACCCCAAACCCCAAACCCCAAACCCGAAACCCTAAACCCTAAACCCTAAACCCTAAACTCTAAACCCTAAACCCTAAACTTAGCGAGGGCTCGATGGAGCGTGCAGCAGAGCCCGAGCGGCCGCTGCTGAGCTAGGCAGAGCCGAGCAACTCAGCTGCGAGAGGCTTTGCAATTTGGTAACGTCTGCGAGCTGCGCTGGATGGAGGGTAAGCCTCCAGTTTGGGCTGGAACTGACGCTTAGCGAGTAAGGCTTTAGCCATATCACCACGTGAGGTAGGCTTACGAGTGTGCCCGGCCAGCACACTTCTCTACGTAGTACAGCTGATACCCCTAAACCCAGACCATTTCCCAGCGGGCCCCGTAACGGGTTTGTTTGGGGGGCCCCCCCCCCCACCGGGGGGTGGCCACGCGACTTTGGGATTTTTCTGCGACCTTTCTGGAACCTCGTGAGACTCTTCTAAAACCTCTCTCGGACCCTCCCACCAGACCATGCCGACCAGGGCACCCTGCCAGGGCATCCTCGCCAGGGCATCCCCACCAGAGCATCCCCACCAGGGCATCCCTACCAGGGCATTCCTGGGATTCTTTTTCTTTTATTTTCGAATTCTAAATTCATTGGAAATCGAGCATTTTCGGGCCGATCTTGGGGTACCCCGCCAGGGCATCCCTACCATGGCATCCCCGCGGTTATTTCTTCTATGCGAACTTTATTACATTCGGGCCGAGCAATTTCGGGGGCCCTTTTGGTCCCTACCAGGGCGTCCCCAAGGGCATCCCTACCAGGGCATCCCACCAAGACATCCCCACCAAGGCATCCTCACCAGGGCATCCCCGCCAGGGCATCCCTACCAGGGCATCCCCGAAATCTGAAAACATGCAGGGATGAATTGGAAATCGAGCATTTTCGTGCCGTGAATTGTGTGCCCCTTTGCACAGAGTGCTTCGCTCGATTCGGGTGAGATTTCGCTGCCATGCCGCGCGTGTCCGAGCTGGGCCAAGCTGTGCAACAAGCCATCATGAAAGACATGGCGGTGCTCATTGCGCAGTCAGGCCAGGTGTGTCTGTGTTCTGCGCGTGCAGTTGAGTGTCTGATGCATGCCAACAAAGGCGGACATGTGGCGTGGGCATGCGGGCAGAGCGGAGAGCGGAGGGAGAGGGCAAGGGAGAGGGAGAGGGAGAAACAACGGAGATCGCAACAGATAGAAGCTGTGCCAATTGCCAGATGTGAAGCGCGATCACATCGAGCGCTCCCTTTCCGGGGGCAAGAATTCATTTGTCACGGTGACGTTCCCCCCGAAGACCGGCGAGATCCATGCTGCTGTGGCATGGCAACAGAAAACGGGCAGCCGGAAATCTTCATTGACCTTGCCCTGGGTGCCCCCCGCCAGTCCAAAACGGACAGGGGTCAGGGGGGCTATGCCCAAGACTTGGTCAGCGGCCTCCAGGCCTGCTGACGTTCATGTGATGTATGTGTGGCTTATCTTAGCAGTTGGCACTTGGCCCTGCTAGGGACGTCCCCACCAAGGCGTCCCCGCCACACCAGGGCATCCCCGCCTGGGTACCCCCATTTGGGCCGGGGAAGTCCAGGGCATCCCTACCAGGGCATCCCCGAAATCTCGTTAAGGGGGCTTCTGTGTAAGGGGCCTCCCCTACAGCCCAACCCCAGATGCGAAAACACACTCCTCAAACGCGAAAAAGCCTTAGTGTTGTGGCCCCCCCAAAAAGGAATGTTTGCGCCCAAGCCAGCACGGAACAAAAATGTAAGCCCCCTTGATGGGGGGTTGGGGGTAGAAACCCTAAACCCCAAAAGAGTCGAGTCTGGGTGGGTGTCACTTAGCTAATCTGGAGCGAGCGGCTCGGGGTGTTTTACACCCGAGTGAGCGAATACGACCGACACATCCTAAACCTTAAACCCTAAACCCTACACCCTAATCCCTAATCCTTAAACCCTAAACCCTCAACCTTAAACCCCAAACCCCAAACCCCAATCCCCAAACCGCAAACCCCAAACCCCAAACCCCAAACCCCAACCGTAAACCGTAAACCCTAAACCCTAAACCCTAGACCCTATAAACCCTATAAACCCTAAACCCTAAACCCTAAACCCTAAACCCTAAACCCTAAACCCTAAAACCCTAAAACCCTAAACCCTAAACCCTAAACCCTAAACCCCAAGCCCCAAGCCCTAAACCCTAAACCCTAAACCCTAAACCCTAAACCCTAAACCCTATACCTTCTTGCTTTGTGCACCCTTTGCGCAGCTGCTCTTTGCTTGGTGTTCACAAAGCTGCTGGGTCCCGGACGAGCAAGGTTTCTCACTTGTAGAGTTTTATCTTGCCTTCACCAGGGAGACGGGATGGCTCGCCCCTGTAAACGTGGCTAGTTGGGAGGCTGCTGCCAAACCTGCAGGTCTAAGGGATACACTTTTCAAAGCGGCCTGGGTGCATGAGGTGCAGTATCCACAGATATCTTTGTGTGCCCAGCCCTTGACGGCGCAACTGTTGGTTTTTTCGCACGTGATTCGTGCAGTGTTTTTGGCGTGTCAATGCCCATGGAAGCCCAGAGCGATGTTTGCTTTGCGTTGGCTTGGGGTCCCATGCAAGGTGCCCGCACTGACCATGCGACCCCAGTATCACCATGTTGGAGAGGTTTGTCAGAATTTATCTAGGTTATTCACCGGTCGGAAGTATCGGCAAGTTCTCAAACAGGGGTATACAGTTGTACAGAAACCGGTGGCTGCACAGATTCCCTTCCGGTCCCCTCGTGAGATCTTTAATGCTCAAAGGCGAGCCCACAGGCAGGCACGCTAGGCTACGAGCTGCTAGTTCCGTTTCTGTTACGTAGTCGGTTCCCAAGTGGTTGCTTCGGAACTGTCCGCAAGGATGCATGCCTAAACCCTAAACCCTAAACCCTAAACCCTAAACCCTAAACCCTAAACCCTAAACCCTAAACCCTAAACCCTAAACCCTAAACCCTAAACCCTAAACCCTAAACCCTAAACCTAAACCCTAAACCCTAAACCCTAAACCCTAAACCCTAAACCCTAAACCCTAAACCCTAAACCCTAAACCTAAACCCTAAACCCTAAACCCTAAACCCTAACTAAACCCTAAACCCTAAACCCTAAACCCTAAACCCTAAACCCTAAACCCTAAACCCTAAACCCTAAACCCTAAACCCTAAACCCTAAACCTTAAACCCTAACCCTAAACCCTAAACCCTAAACCCTAAACCCTAAACCCTAAACCCTAAACCCTAAACCCTAAACCCTAAACCCTAAACCCTAAACCCTAAACCCTAAACCCTAAACCCTCAAGACAAAATAAATAGAAATTGTATGTGGTATCAATCTGAATTTTCCAAGATATTTGTCTAAACAGCTGACAAACAGAGTTTAAGTAAATTAATCCAAAGCGGGAGGCCAGGAGGCCAAATGTTCAATCTACTTAAACCTCTGGGGCCTTCCCGGGCCCCGGCAAACCAAATCCCAAATCGCCTCCCAAAGCCCAAAATTGGCTTCCAAAACCCCAAACTGTCCCAAAGCCCGAAATTGGCTTCCCAAAACCGAAAATTGGCTCCCAAAGCCCAGTTCGCAAAGCCCAGACCCATCCCCCCCGCCCCAGCTCCCAGCCCCCCAGCCCCCCCGCAGCCCCCCACAGCCGCCCCTAGCAGCCAGCAGCCCCCCCCCCCCCCAACCAACACTTTTTGCCCTCCCCCCACCCCCCAAGCCCCTGAGCCCCCCCAGCCAGCCCACAGCCAGCCCACAGCCCCAGACCCCTCCAGAGCCGCCCAGAACCCCCCCAAAGCCTCTCCGAGCTCCGGGAGCTAATTTTGAGCTCCAGGAGCTAATTTTGAGCTCGGAGCTCCGGGAGCTAATTTTGAGCTCCGCGAGTTAATTTTGAGCTCCGAGATCTAATTTTGAGGGAGCTAATTTTGAGCTTTGGGAGCTAATTTCTAACTCCGGGACCTTATTTTTGAGCTTTGAGAGCTAATTTTGAGCTTTGAGAGCTAATTTTGAGCACCCGGGAGCTATTTTGAGCTAATTTTGTGCTTTGGGAGCTAATTTTGAGCTCCGGGAGCTAATTTTGAGGTCCGGCAACTAATTTTGAGCTCCGGCCCGCCCCTTTCTCCTCCCCCCCCTTCCCCCCTCCAGCGCCTCCCCCCCCCTCCCAAAAATGAAAAACTAGTTCCAAAAATCAAAACGTTTCGGTCAAAACTTTCGCTCAAAACTTTCGGTCAAAACGTTTCGCTCAAAACTTTCGGTCAAAACTTTTTGGGACCCAAACCCTATACAATTTCTATAAACCCTA